GGGGACTGCAGAGAACCACAGGTGAAATACTCCAAAGCCAAAATACAAACACCTACACCAAACTCCCTGAGTTTATATGTATTATTTCCCACACCCTCCAAACATAACCAGTCCTACTCTCTCATTAGAGATACAACTTTCTTTCAATAATCCATACAGACACATACAAATCTCATATTCTTACAATCCAACTTGAAACATAACTAACCCAAAACTATGAATGCAAATAACACATTAGGAATACCATCTTCAAAATGGACATGCAACCAAAAATTCATGGCCTCTAAATTTCCACAATCCCCAAGAAGGAAAAAAGTCTGCAACATAGTCAGATGCAACCATGCACCCCACAATTCTTACACAGTAGGCAAAGGCAAAATCAAAACGTATTAGCATCCCCAAAACCAAACTCTTGACACCCCAGTGCCAATGAACATTTACAAAAAAAAACACATAACTTTACTCATGTAAAAGATGAGTACCACAAAATTTAACAATAATAAAACATGACTCTATTTATTGCACAGTACTTGTGGTCACACAGTTCTCCCATCATCATTCAGGTGCTCTGTCCAGAGGCTCGCACCAACAGCAACCTATGACAGCACGTCAGTCACGGTGTGACCACATGCCACTCAGCAAACTCGGCTCAGTATTTTCCGTTGTGCAAAGTCGCTAAGATCACAGGAAAAGAGCGTCCTTTCAGCTAACGACTCGGATGCCAGCTGACAGTGTCCCCAACATTCACAGATTTCACAGGGAACAAGAAGATGATCATCACCACTTCGTTTGACATTGACAGGAGCCAAGTCGAGGACCTGCTGACTGGGACCCTGCTTCTCAAGCACCGCACAGGTGCCCTGGAGCCCAGGGGCCGCACAGGCTGCAAAGGACATGGATGGACGACACCTCGACGTAGCACTGGACAACACACCCCTCACTTCTGGGTCTGGTGCTGATGGTCCGCGTCCTAGGGGAGGCAAGGCAGACTCCTGGGCTGCCCTGGGAGCACAGGACCAGGCAGGGACACACTGGGGACAGGAGAGGTTCGCGGGGCCAGTACCTTGAGGCCTATGGGACTGAGTCTGGACGCCGCCATGGGAGCCCAGCCGGCCGTTGGGAACCTGCCATCCGTGCTCGCGCCTGCGCCTTGCCCTGCTGGAGCCCCAACGGACGCCAGAGCCCCAACTGACACTGGAGCCCTTGGGTGGCGGCCCATGAGGGCTAAAGCGCCTGCAGCCAAGGGCGTGCGCATGCGCGAAGGGTGCAGGGCAGACTGGAAGCCCGGAGCTGCCTGCAAGAAGAAGACCAAGGGAGTCTGCAGGCTTCTGGGTATCTCAGGAAAGGCTCCCTCTGGCCCTTTTATGCCTGGCTCTGCTCCCC